GTTACTCGCTTTCATCATATGTACCTGCTTGTCGGCACTTTTGTCATCTAGTACATGGGTTTTTTTAGGTAAATATAAGTGTTAATGGTCTTTCTGGAAACATTGGTTTTCATGGTAGATAGCAGCTGAGTTTAAACGCGTAAATCTAATTTCTTTTCATGCAATGGTTTCCAAACCAATCTTGTATAAATAAGCAGAAACTTTTAATTGCTTTTTCGTTTTTTATTTCCTGAGCTGCGCTACTGCAATTAAGATAGGTATTGTTTTCTATACCAGAGCTGTAAATTCGCACCTAGGTTTCCTACTTTAATGGCCTAGAGTTTATTGCATCCGTCTTTTTAATTTTGAGATTTTTTCCGTCGTAGAAACAGATGGAATATTTAAGTAGTTTTTGTTTAGCTTCAAAGAGACTTTTTTCCGCTCCTTTGCGTCCTTATCCAAATATTGCGATTTGTGTAACAATAGCACTTCGCACCAGTTACTTCTTAAGCAAGTACCTTGTACAGCTTTGATGATTACAAACTAGAGTATGCTAGAGGTCATGTCGCTTGTTGGCCTGACCTAGAATAAAAGTACTGTGGAACCAAGATTGTCTTATCCTTGACGTCCGTATAAGCTCGCTCGAAGTAGATCTCCGTGTACCAGGAAATCGTGACGAGTTTCCGTTCTCGCTGCCAAGTCGTCTCTACAGAGTTATTTCCCCCAGTTGTTATTGTTCCGTCGCGAAGATTCAGTCCTCCAGTTTGGGGCGGAAAACGTATCGTCACATAAGCTGGGTCAGCAACTATAAGTGGCTAAACCTGCATACCGCCTATTCGACGCAATGGGGAATGCAAAATATCGCCGTCTTCTACTGCTGTGAGTAGGGAGCTCATTCGTAGCACGCGAGCATCGTGAATACTCCCTGCATAGCCGGTACTCACGTGCAAGCAACTTTCTATGCTATGAAAGCTTTTTCGATTTACGTACTCGTTTGGTTCTTCTTTCGGGGCTTTAATTGGTATATGAGACCCATCAAGTGCTCCTACAACCTGAGGGAAGTGACTGATGTCTTGAAATTTCTGTATTGCTTGCCTTGTTTCGGCCTCAGCCTTAGGAAAATTGATGAAATCATTAGCTCTTCTCATCAAGGCAGAGCAGAATTCGTCCTTGACATTCATGGTAGTACATCGGCTGATCCCAAACGTTAATCCCACGGTTCTATACGAAATTCCAGTAGCTAACCTCCACAGAGCAACAGCCACTCGCTTCTCTACGGTGATTGCTTCACGAAGAATTGTATTCTGCCGCATTAACTGAGGGCCAACGAGACCACAAATGTGTTGGAATGTATCCCTGCTTACCCTGAAGTGCTCTCGCCATAGATGATCTTGATATCGGTTTAAAAGGAGCTGTTCAAACCAAAACTGTGGTCTTGGATAAACCCACAGTCTTGTGGTTACGGCGATAGCGGGTGTTTTGGATTGTCCGGATTACCACAATCCGTCGCGTCCTCTCCATTCCTCGAGACATTAGTCGCATCCTCTGAAAGAAACGTCGTCTCCTTCGAAGAAATATGGCGAGAATCAGCACAAGAGAAGTCATTAAAAATGCTTCGTCTCCCGCCATTTTTTTAAAGTTACGCGCTTTTGTAATTTGAATCTTCTGAGTAAACGGCTTAAATTTTACAGTGAAAACAGATGTCAAGTTTAACTAGTAAATGCCGGTCTGTAAACAAACACCTAGAAAGAATGTTCAGCTAGTTAATCGGCCTAGTGAAAACACAGCCCATGAGTACAAAAGTCCGCGAAACGACTGGATACGGATAAAAATAAGGCGTGACACATACACAAACATATCATGTGATCTGTACTCCTCCCCCTGGCTCTGTCATTCGTTATCATAAATGTGCCAACGTTTTTAAATCCTAAGATTCCTGTTTGGCTACATGCTGACGTGGATCGCGTGGAAATATCTACTCTACTTCAAAGGTATCTTCCGCTAGTTAAATCTGGACTTTCTTTAGGCAAAGGTATGTCAATGTATCTGATTTCATCAGCGATATAGCCATGCATTTCAGATATTTGGGACGTTACTTATTAGCAATGTCTTGTTATTGATCCAACTCGATGGAACACAATAGAGCTCATTCTAGATTGAGTTTTATTGAGGTCTGTAAGCGAACGAAGTCGAACGGCTTTTTTTTTGACGGGGGTATAACAGCAAAATGTGTCGAAATACGAGCAGTTTTTGTAATACTATAGCAGACTAGTCATATGATCTCACAGCATTTTCCATTGCATGACATTCTCAGAAAAACAGGAAATCAATCATGCATTACAACAGGGACTTTCCTGAGGAAATGAGTCATCGATGCCGTTGATTTCAAATTACGTGATTGTCGTATAACAGGATGGTGGCTATAGGACGAAATTTTGTACTTGATAATTCAGTTTAACTTTAAAATGGCTGCCAGTGAAACTAGTATATCTGATTTGTTCGATGACATAGATATGGAAGAGACATGTGACACCGGTTATGAAAAAAATGTTGAAGTGGCAATCATTAGTGGGTTTTATTACCAAAAGGTAGCCTTTGTGAACGGCAAGGTCTGGTTTCTTGCTGACTATTGGATGCAGTTGTATTCAAAAAATTGTTAACATTGAACTAATCATGACAACAAAGTTGAGGAACATTATGATTTCATCAGCGATATAGCCATGCATTTCAGATATTTGGGACGTTACTTATTAGCAATGTCTTGTTATTGATCCAACTCGATGGAACACAATAGAGCTCATTCTAGATTGAGTTTTATTGAGGTCTGTAAGCGAACGAAGTCGAACGGCTTTTTTTTTGACGGGGGTATAACAGCAAAATGTGTCGAAATACGAGCAGTTTTTGTAATACTATAGCAGACTAGTCATATGATCTCACAGCATTTTCCATTGCATGACATTCTCAGAAAAACAGGAAATCAATCATGCATTACAACAGGGACTTTCCTGAGGAAATGAGTCATCGATGCCGTTGATTTCAAATTACGTGATTGTCGTATAACAGGATGGTGGCTATAGGACGAAATTTTGTACTTGATAATTCAGTTTAACTTTTAAATTGGCTGCCAGTGAAACTAGTATATCTGATTTGTTCGATGACATAGATATGGAAGAGACATGTGACACCGGTTATGAAAAAAATGTTGAAGTGGCAATCATTAGTGGGTTTTATTACCAAAAGGTAGCCTTTGTGAACGGCAAGGTCTGGTTACTTGCTGACTATTGGATGAAGTTGTATTCAAAAAATTGTTAACATTGAACTAATCATGACAACAAAGTTGAGGAACATTCTGATTTCATCAGCTATATAGCCATGCATTTCAGATATTTGGGACGTTACTTATTAGCAATGTCTTGTTATTGATCCAACTCGATGGAACACAATAGAGCTCATTCTAGATTGAGTTTTATTGAGGTCTGTAAGCGAACGAAGTCGAACGGCTTTTTTTTTGACGGAGGTATAACAGCAAAATGTGTCGAAAAACGAGCAGTTTTTGTAATACTATAGCAGACTAGTCATATGATCTCACAGCATTTTCCATTGCATGACATTCTCAGAAAAACAGGAAATCAATCATGCATTACAACAGGGACTTTCCTGAGGAAATGAGTCATCGATGCCGTTGATTTCAAATTACGTGATTGTCGTATAACAGGATGGTGGCTATAGGACGAAATTTTGTACTTGATAATTCAGTTTAACTTTAAAATGGCTGCCAGTGAAACTGGTATATCTGATTTGTTCGATGAAATAGATATGGAAGAGACATGTGACACCGGTTATGAAAAAGATGTTGAAGTGGCAATCATTAGTGGGTTTTATTACCAAAAGGTAGCCTTTGTGAACGGCAAGGTCTGGTTACTTGCTGACTATTGGATGAAGTTGTATTCAAACAATTGTTAACATTGAACTAATCATGACAACAAAGTTGAGGAAGCTAAGGCTATTTCAGCAATATGTAGATTGCGTGACCAAAGAGTTAAGGAGCATTCCTGCCTTCGAAATGACTCCAGATCGAACAGCAGAACTTTTTCAGAAACAAATAGCATAGTTATACCCAGTTTTGTTAAATTACTTTGTCTTTTATCATTTGAAGCTTGTTTCTGCAGAGATATTCTGCCATCGTTCTATCTAGTACGATTATTCACCAGTGCCAGTAACGGTATACGATTAAAGACTTTGCTGGTCTCTCGCATACGAATCTTAAGTTTCTGCCCATTGTTTAACTTTCTATATGTGCTTACTCGTGCCTTTTAACCAGCACCTGATAAAAACTAACAAAGTTTTCAAAGGGAGGTTTTTGCAGGAGTTAAGTGGACTAACTGAGGGCTTGCATGACCTAATTAGCATAATTGCAGGTATGGTCACTCGACGGTCATTTTGGGTACTGTTATTTTCTTGTCGGATGATAATTTCAATGTCCTTTCACCAAATGGAAGTTCTTGGATAATGTGTTCACTTGTGATGAAGTCAAGGAAGTGGTTGAGCTGTGTGGCTGAGACATACATCCTCGGCACACTACGAGTTTCAACTTCAGCACCTCCTCCATACATGTGAGCGTGTTGCCTGGCGACATTAAATCTATATCGTGTTAGACCAGGAATCCAACTCTGTAACGTTCGATAGTTAACTTTGTCAGTAACAATGGATAGGATTTTCCTACGTGTGCTCCAGTGGCTCGCATTCTTGTAGCAACTTGGTACTCTGTCTGTGCGACGTCGTTTGATATCACTAGTTTATTCAAGAGGATTTCAGCTTTCCCAGGTGCAGTTTCTTCTAGGGCTGCTATCACGATTAGATTGCTCACCATCTTTAGATCCTTGACTGTAAGCGTTAGCTGATCAATCTGTGACTTGCTTTCAAAACTCTCTCTGTATTTTCTACAGATACCTGTGCCATCGATTCTAGAGGGTGAAAGCGAAAAGTTCGTTTTTCTCGAAAATAAAAACATATTTGAGGAACAAAATACACAGTCTTTCTTGTCTTACTAGGTTCTACTTGTGTGCAAAACTTGAGACAATTTGAATTTTTGACCCTTGCCATAAAAATTTGTGCACGGATGTCCTCTTAAGTACTTTGTTGTTCAGATCCCAAGTGCTTGGTTTAGCGCTCCAACAACAGCTGTTTGATCTCCCAAGGTCAGCCAGCTGGCATGCCCACCCATATCTGTCAGAAGTGAATATATAGGCACATTCTTTAGATTTTACTTAGAAGAGACTGGGGAGAAGAGAGTGGGGAGAAGAGAGAAAAGAGAAGAGAGAAAATAGAGAGAAGAGAAGACTAGAAGAATGTAGACAGAGTGCAGTAGAGTAGAGTCAGAATTCTGCAGTTGAAGGAGAAGTATCCCGTGAGAATCAAAAGTGTGAGAGTCTGAGAGATTAACAAGAGTTACACAGAATGAAATAAGCTTGAATGTAAGTGGAATTGTGTAATGGAAAACCTAGTAACTATATAGAAAACCCAAAGACTGCAGCGCTAAAAGAGTCTTTAGTCAAGAGTCTCCTGCCACTGGCGGGAAAAGTTTGCCTATTAGCATTATTTTACTAAAGATATGAAATACTTTATTTTGTTATAGAAAATACCAACCGACTTTTTCAAACGAGGTAGCTTGATATTCTGACATGTCCAATCCGTTGATCAAGGCTGTTGTGACTACTCTTATTCAAGTGGTGCTAATCTTCGATCATCACAACGTTCAAGCAGAATTTAGTGACACTTGCGACAACTCCACCAGTTCACTCTCATGCATTCATACATATGAGCAGCTTTATCACAATTTAACAAAGTCAGATAACAGTTTTAACATTGAGTCTGCCTTATTTCCAGCCAAGAAACCCTCTTCTGTTCGTGTGTTTGTGAATTTACATGGTCCCAACAAAACAGGTTCACCCATTGCAAGGTACACTTGGAGCGTATCTTGTCTGTATGTTGCTATTCCTGATGTCTTCCTGGAAATTGTGTCACTCGGATCAATCCTTGTCAGACATCGGACAAAAGAATTGAACTTAACAATTCCACATTTCTGTTGCAATGTGTCGAAAACAGAGGATGAAAGAAAGAAGACGATAAACGATATGATTGAAAATGTCCTCGCTGCGGTATGAACAGTGATTTTTTTTTTTTTTTCATCTCTAAGAAACCCCGACTCAAAACTGCTTAACCCAAGCCAAAATGAGTATTCGTAATCCTCTGAGAGTAAGCATTCATTTCAAGCAATGCTCTCTGCGACAAAAGCAATCGCCTCCGTTATACTAAATAATTTAATATCGGTAATGAAACTCTTAGAAGGGTTATGAATACCTATCGCAACCGTTTAAACTGATCGCCAAGAGTTTGGAAATAGAGAAGTGAAACTTTGTACCTTGTAGGTTGCAGACAAGCGGCTAGGTTGCTATGGTTACTGATGCTGCCATATTAGATGAATTATTTGCTGAATCTTTGTTGGTGCTCATTTCAGCTTCAAGATCTGGCCTCTTCACCAGGAATAAGGAATCCAGAACTAAACAATGCAGAGTGTGTTATCGAGGGCCATGGTACAGATATGCAAGCTACAGGAAGAAATGTCGAAATCAGAATAATGATATGGAGTTCTTTCTGCTCCACCTGTGCAGCTTTCGGTCCACTCTATGACATGGTAGTGGCATATATGGCGTATTTGAAGGTAGTAAATAGCCCTGAATATAAGGCTATGCTATGTTTAAGTGTTTTGGTGGGAGTATCTGGTTCATTTATCTGGTTGATACTTTTATCTGTTGTAATTTATTTCTCTGTGAGAGACGGACTACTTTTCTACCTGGATATCTTACTTGTTTTGATTCCCGTTTTGTATTTTATTACTCCCCTCTCCAAAAGAGTGAGGGACATCTGGAATAATTTTAGGAGCTCTGATCCAGGTCAGATAAACAGCGGCTTTATGTGGTTTCAGAAACTACTTGCCCCTTTAAGTGTTATTTATACCTGTTTCTTCTCCTGTTGGATGCTCATCGGCATAGTGCTTAACCCAATTTGGGGTTTGACAATTGCACTAGCAGTATGTCTTGTTATTTCTTCTTTCAATTATATAGTCGGCGGCTACGAAGTCAGTAGACAAAGGGAACGTGATAAAAGCATGCATCGATCTCTTCTTATAAAATGGGTACTTATTTTTGTGGCTCTCATATTTTTAACAAATGTTGTGATTCTTGCCGGACAATCGTTTAATGGCAGAGAAACCGCAGATGGAATATTCAAAACCACACTGTTTACCGCTCTTGTTTTTTTTACCTCGTGGTTCTCATGGAAGAGGCTTTTCAGCCAAAGATCAGAGAGTAGGGAAGAAGCCCAAATGACAAATCTACGTGACATTCTTCAAGCTCTTCGTCAAAGACGAAGTCAAGATGCTGAACCGGGGCTTGAACCCCAGCTTTTATTCAGTCATATCAATGAGTCACCCAGTGATCATGATCCCACATGGATTTGGCGAGAAACCACTGTGTAAGAATACGCATACTTTTTTGTCTCCAAACTCAGTATCAAAAAAGAACACACAATTTTCTTTTGGAATTTTTTCCCTTTTAACTCGTGCAAACGAGTTTTTAAGGGGACTCCGATATGCAAATGAGTCACTCAATAAGATGTAGACGCTGTGGTAATCAGTAGTACCCAACTCGCCCGAGCACAAAACCTTGTTGAAGTAATAATCGCGCGATAAAACGACATAGGAAGGCTTTGTTAAAGTTCATACTAAGAATGGCTGCTTTAAATACCACCTTCCAAGAGATAAAGTAAAATGTACATTATGATAGAATATTTTACAGACTAAAATCCTGTATTTGGGCCATAAAAATCCTCCCCCTTCACACTTTGTTGGCGACCACTGAATCTCTCTTTCTTGACCTCCCCCCCCCCTCCCTCCGTGACCAATAATGATTGGTCCTCATTAAAGTTTTGGGAAAACCGGAAAAGCTAGTTGGATGTGTTAATATTTCGTGCAGTTGAACAATTGTAGCGAGAAGCTAATTTTAGATCTGAGGAAAATTTATATTCTCAGTCAGGGAGGATGTACCTTTTTGATATTGCTGTTATTGGAGTTTTTATATCCTAGAGGTCAATTGTTCTATTTTTTGATAAGTACATAACCTAAAATAATCTAGAAGAACACTTTAAGCTAATCAGTTGAACAAATAGAGCGAGAAGCTATTTTCAGCTCTGAGGAAATTTTATATTCTCAGTCCGGGAAAATGTCCTTTTTTTGATATTACTTTTCTGAGAGTTTTATATCCTGGAACTCAATTGTTCTATTTTTTTTGATAAGTAAGTAACCTAAAATAATCTAGAACAGATCAATTTGAACTGATGCGAGCTTTAACAATATATACATTATATTTGATTTTCTTTGTTTTGTATGAATGTAATTACATAACAATAGGATATGTCACCCAATAAAGTTGTCAATAAAACTTCAAAACCGCTTCAGTGTTCATTTTCAAGTCTATAATGACAAACAGTCGGAACCTAGGATGATGCGAACTAAAACATCACAAAGTCAAAGCGAGAGACGAAGAATTTCAGGGCACTGATAGGGTAGTTATTGAGAGACTTGGCGGGGAAGTGTTCCTCTATAGTCGATCTAACGTAAATCACGTAATACGGGAACACTTAGCGGTCTTATCGGAGGGAATTTTAAAACCAAACTCAAAACCTTTTTTTCCTTACTGTGATAGACCTCTAAATTGTCATGTTGGCCTTCCCTCGGGGATGACTCCCTGCTAGAAAGATCAGATTCTGAAAAATATTGAACAGTACTTAATTGGCGACATCAATAATAATTTACTATCAAGTGTTCACACTTCTTCAAAACTCTTCTGAATGTTGCAGTCAATTATGACTTAACATAATTAATTAGTGACTCTACCCAAATCACAGCTTCAACAAATACTTTAATTGATCTTATTTTCACTTCTCTTTCCTCCGGTTTGTCTCATGTTAGTGTAAGCGATCACAGTTTAGTTTAGTTTACTTTACGCGTATCGGAAAATGTCAATTCCCCCTGTGTTAAAAGGAATAAAGTCCATTAACTACAGACAATTTAAACTTTCCAACATTATAAATTTCCGGAACGATGTCTTGAGACGACTGTGGGGATTTATCAAAGAATTGAATGATCCTAATGAGATTTGGCTTAATAGAAAGAAAGTGTTTGCGCTAAACACGCACCACTTAAAACTAAACGTACACGTCCTACCAAATCACCATGGATAACGACTGTTTAAAATCAAAGTGCTCTGTGGATTATGATTATGAGTAGATTATGTTTAATGTTATCTGGTTTAGGGAATTTTGTTTTGTGGTTGATTGTCATGTGGTTGATTGTCATGTCGTATTTAGAGTACGAGCCGTAGTTCAGTGTTCGCTAATGTAGCAAAGGAAGTAACGTTGGGATAAGAAGGCATTACAATTGAAATGATCATGCTATTACATTTGACAAGGGTGGATGATGTCATGTGTTTTAAACATATATCATTTTTGTTTCTGGTTCAAAAGAAAAGGTTGGAAATAAATGTGGGTGAAAAGTGAAATTTACTTTCTATCATTGTAAATATTGGAAAATCAAGGCAATACTGGTTGTTTACCATTTACCACAAATTCCCGGAAATTCCGGTTGAGATGTAAATGGTAAACATTTTTTCGGTTCGTCCCACTGGAAAAATTCCCGGGACGAACGGAAATTCTGAAAAGGTAGTCCCGTTTTTCCGGTTAGGACGTTCCGAATGGAAATTCGTTTGCCATTAAGGAGTTTCTTGAGTTTCGTACTAGTTTCAGGCCTCTTGGCCTTTGGCCGAGCGCAATCGCTTCAACAACAACAAATATGGCGGGTTCACAGCAAATGGGGAATGTGTACCAGCGTTCATGTTGCTCTTATTCGTCTCCAATTCTGGAAATATTTCTAACACATAGCTGTTCCTTGTGTTTAAATGGCGAGCAGACTTAAAATCGCTAATTTGTGTCCAAAATCGAATGGCTGTCAAGTTTTGCGCTATATTTTATTCTCCCGCGAAAATAATTGTAAATTTTTATACACAGCTGACGTATCAACTGGGCTATCAGAAATAGCAAATCTTAGCCGATCAGTTTCTCCTGCTTGGCGCGACAATCCGAAAATTTTGGGGCAAATGGTAAACGACCCGTACCGTGTTTACCGAAGGAAAATTCCAAACCGAAATTTCCGGAATTTTTTTATAAATGGTAAACAACCACTGTCTTAGTGAAAACATTAATGATTCCCTCTTTATCAAATGAGACAAACGGGAACGAGTTTCGAGTGATATAACAAAGCCCAGACTGCCACCGTCATTTTGGATTTCCGCCTGGGTAGATTTTGGTTATGTGCTCGGCAACGTATAATCAAGAACAAGAAATTTCATTTCAGGCCTATTTATCAATTTTGTGGTGTATAACTTTCGCATTTTAGTACGTAATACTTAAAAGAAAATTGTTCTTAAAAACTCACTGAAAATCGGTTGCCAAAATTATTTGTTTAGGTGTTATTCGATTTTCGTGTTAACCTGTAATTTCGTCAATCGCCGGTACCTTTTGTTGCTTCACACTGAAAAAACACACGATACAACATGTAATAATCGATTTTGTCCCCAATCTCACGCCATAACAGAAAAAGCTTTTGAACACCTGTAAACTCCGAGCGCTTCGGAGTAAGTGATATTTTTAATGAATCTTCGGATTGTTTTCAAGTTCAAGGATTGTAAATGACAATTTTATGAAAAACGAAGGTTGTTCTCTTATTTCAGTGTGAATCCTCGCACGCCTGCCAGTCGCTGGCACCGTTTGTTGAAACTAAAACGAAAAAAAAAAACTCTTTTAAGATTATCATTGGCTTCTTTTTTACCCCACCACTATTCTTAACAACAAAGGTCGCCATTTCGTTTGTTTATTACTCGCCAAAAACTATCAAATGCACTCAAAAGCCTAAAATCGAAAAAAAGTTTACAGGAATCGACCTTGGCCTTCCATCGGGGTAGGCTAACATGAGCGAATGAAATAAAAGAGAATGACTTTTAAAGACCGGCTCAAGAAAAAAGCTGTCAAAACCCAGAACATGTCTATTTGGAATGAATTTCGAAAAGTAAAAAATCAATGAAATCAGGAAATGAAGGCTGACTATTATACAACAACGCCCTTAACAAATATTCTAGTGACCAGCGCATGAACTGGAAAACTAACAATAAATTAACATCACGTAAGTCCAACAAAACACTGCTTAATGGAGAAAAATAGCAAGAGCAACATCAAGCAATCAAGTAGAAGCTGCCGAGATGCTGGAGGCTTATTTTGTCGAACTGAAATTGGCCCAAGCCTGATTAAAGATGTAACAAATGTCGCCATACCCTTCTTAAATTTTCTTTCAGCAACTTCTAAAGAGTTCGTCTTCTAAGAATTTCTTTTACGCAAGTTCTGTTTCTCTTTTTTAAACTCTGTAAATCAAAAGCGACTGGATTAGACAGTATCTCGGCAAAATTGCTCGGAGACTGCTTAGATTTAGTCGCTGAATCGCTTACATTAATATTTAGTCAATCATTATTAAGTGGAACTGTTCCTCAAGAGAGGAACTCCATTGCGTAAAAATTTTGGAGAACGAAATGACCCCACGAATTATCTACCAATTTCGGTAAACCCCACCGTGGCCAAGATCGAGTGGTTCGGGTTCGAGCCTTAGCCGGGGTCATTGTGTTGTGTTCTTAGGCAAGACACTTTACTTTCACAGTGCTTCTCTTCACCCAGGTGTACAAATGGGTACCAGCAAATATGCTGGGGGTAACCCTGTGATGGACTAGCATCCCATCCAGGGGGGAGTAGCAATACTCCTAGCCGCTTCATGCTAAAGAAACTGGAGTTAAGCGCCGGCCCCACGGGCCACTTGGGCCCGTATAAAGGCTTTACTTTTTTACCACCGTAGCGAAAGTATTCGAAGGCTAGGATTATTATGATCAACTCTCAATATCTAACCAAAAATAATCTTCTTTTCCGTTACCAATCTGGTTTTCGTTCTTTACATTTACTGTAACCGCTTTGCTTGAGGCTACGGACAGTTGGGCAATGAACATTGATCGTGGTCACGTCAATGTCGCTGTTTTCTTAGACTTGAAAAAAGCTTTTGACACCGTTACCTATGATATATTGTTGGCGAAATTACATTACTATGGTTTACGCGGTCCCTATCACGACTGCTTAGCTTCGTATTTAAAAAATCGTACCCAAATTTGCAAAACTAACTGTTTAATGTTCAGTCCTAAATTAGTGAAACGTGGTGCTCCTCAGGGCACTATTAAGTCTAGGACCTTTACTATTTCGATTATGCATCAAGTGCATCAGAGTGCTTACTTTTTTCAAAACCTAGTCTGTATGCTGACGACACTAGTTTATACCATGCAAATGGAGACTTAAAGCGTATTCATGATTGACGATTTCAATAGGATCCACCTATGGCTAGCTGCTAATAAACTCACCCTTAACTTAACAAAAATTGAATTCATGTTACTTGCATCGAGGCAGGGGCTACCAACTATCTCTGAAATACTATATTTCATGATACATGACCATCCAGTGATGCAGGTTCCTTCCACGAAATCGCTTTGCGTGGGTACATATTGATCAAAACTTAAACTGGAATTGTCATATACAGAGCGTTTGTAAAAATATTGCCTCTACCTTATATGCAATTAAAAGAATAAGGCATCTTCACTATGTTTTAAAGACAACGAATGTAAATGCCCCTAATCTCGGAATCAAGGCCAGACCACAGCGGCGGGAGCTACGTTCCTTACTCTTTGCGAGAAGTGCGTGGGCTCTTTAACTTCCCCTCCTAACTAGTACCGAGAAGATGCTGTAGACGAAGCCTAAGGTTTATCGTCCTTATCCGAGAAGACTAGGATATTTAACCACTGCAGATGTCATGGAAAAGGCAGCACATTCTCCTCAGTTATTTTAAGAAGCTGAGTGTTGGGCCGGTCTTTCAAATGTTTATCGGAAAGGACACATCGATGGTCAAAGATTTTATATCGTTTCTGACACTCACAGAATTAAGTAACAATGCTCAACCAATGCTAGATGAGCATGATGCGACAAACTTTAGCAGAAAATATAAAAACCAAAAGCAATACTACTCTATTCTCTCGCCGCTTTGCGGCTCGGTAAATAACCACCAGTGAGTAGTTGTTTAATAATTAGATATAATCAAGGTTAACAACGTTTAATAAAATTTAAGAAATAAGAAATACAAATTGATAAGTTAATTGTAATCGATAGATAGAGAAGTGATATGCAGTTTATTGATAACTTGCGACTAAAAACTTGAATTACACGATTTTTACAAAGGATAATACCAATAATACCATTAAAAGGAACTATCAGTGGTTTAAAGCAAGTTTTTATAAATAATTTGTTTGTATATCGGTTATGTTTGTAAATAAAATGTCGATTAAATATAAAATTCCAATAAAATGGTATAGGCTTTAAGGGTATTAAAAGAGGTAAATCTGTCACGAAACCTTTTTGCCTTGAACACGGGCCCAAACTTCCGTTTGTCTGTAAGGTTCGAAGTACTTGTGTGAATCATTGAATCAATAAAAATAATTATTGTATACAAAAGTTAGGGCTGTACACAAGAGGCGGCTAGATCCCTCTGTAAGGAGGCTCCGTAGGGTTTTAACCGCGCGAGATATGGATGCGAACATAGCGCGGGCTTTGAGAATGTCAACAAAACTGGCAGCTCGATATGATCGCACGATTGTTATTTCAAAAGGTGTACAAAACAATGCAGTTTCTAGTAATGAACTCTAGGGTTTATCAGCAACATACCCATAATAAATTCATGGGTCTTCTTCACCTGAAAAAGGGGTCGACAGAAAAGAAAACACTGGGCGAAAGAATGCGAAAGGGCTACAGATTCGAACGTTTGCGTATGCTCAAAAATCGATCTTGGCGAATTCCAATTTAATGACATAATGATTTGAGAGAAAGACGTAAAATATTTGAGTGGAATTCATCGTGTTTCCTTCTGTAGAATTTCCTAACATTTAATTGAGCGTTTAACATATTTGTGCTCTATCTACCGCTAATTAATGAGAAGTTCATGAGACCCATGCTAAGTTAGAGGAGGAAAAAATATGCAAGAAGCGAAGAAACTATACCTTTATAACCCCTATTTTTTTCTAAGTAAACAAAAGATCGGCAGGATAAATGTCACAAATTGTAAAAACTGTGGAATATTTCATCGAAGAGTATTTGAGAAAATCAAAATCAAAGCCAAATTACCGCTGGTGAGCACCTTCCTTTGCAGCGCTTAAGCTCAAACACAGAAACCTCTATGTGAATATTAACAACAGTCCTACGCTCGTGACAAGACGAATAAAAAAATATTTCTCTAGTTCAACCTTTGTTTACTAAATTCTGGTAACAGTTAGTGATCTCGTAAAATAGGTTGCGGTTTTTCATCGCGGTAAATAACACTTTCAAAAGAGAATACAATCGTTTGTCTCACGATGTTGTCACTTCGGATGTGAATCACGACGTTTCGACAGCATATATACTTATAGTCTTCTTTTAGCGAAGATCTTCAAAGATTTTCCATGAAAACACAACGCCGACGTGCGCATCGTAATCAGGCTAAAACTTCATTGAGCCACCTTAAGTAGATCGTTAATAACAGCTAATATTTGCGCGTTAACTATTCCAAAGTTTGAACGCCGCGATGGTGAACGAGCAATCACTGAGAGTAACTAGAGTTGTAATGTTTGGCTGATGAAAAAGAAGTTTGTCCTGACTCATATTTTTTCTTTCACGCCTTCAGTGAAAGGATATATTATTCTGTTTTTCGCGTCGAGTAAAGGTAACTAGAAATCCAATATTTTGAGACTGTCCATCGATTCTCGATATTCTTAAAAGTATACTCTTAAGTGCAAGAAGGCAAATGGCAAACGTGAAACAAATATCCACCGAAAACTGTAGACTATATCTGCACATTATGCTATCTTAATGGAGAGCCACAATTAACGTCATTCTAGTTAAGTCACTGCACTATATTCAGCGATATGTGCGGAAACGAAAAAAGGCTGTGCTACAGTTAATCCTTTTGAATCCCTTTTTTTGGATCGATATTTAAGTTGTGATGGAAGACGTTTTCGGGATCGTATTTGACTTTCAACGCCCTGATTCTTTCATGTTCTTCTTCCGCCTCAGGGCCATATGGGAAGATACCATATTTGGATAGTCGATTGTCCATACTGTCCACCCAGGTTTTCACATCTTCATAGAAGTTAGAGTCAGGTGTCCCAGCTACAATTCCAATCCAGTATCTGTTTCGTGTAAGAAAAACAAATCGTGGCATTAACATCCAAGGATAGAGTTGAAAAGTCTTAACGAGGTTCCCTTAAAAGCCTTGTAGTCACAATGGGCCGGTTATTTACACGAGGTCAAACCCAAACCGCAGTTTCCCGCAAGCAGTGGGCCTCTGGGATTCTCTATAAGAGAGTTGTTTTCATGAAATATATATCCTTTAACTGCTAGCTTTCGGCCCTCTTGACACTGTTCGCAAAAACAAATTTTCGGATAAAAGATTAAGCTAAATTTAAGATAGTTTACAACGCGGTTTTGTTAACAACGGTTAAACTTTGTTAAATAACCAACCCGATGTCTTTACGCCCCTATATTTATTTTTTTTACCATCGAAAGCAAAACGATCGAATCAAACAGTACAACGAAGCAAGAAGGAAGCGAAGCGATCGAAGCGAAACAAAGCAAAACGAAACAAAGCTAGTGTGACTTAATCACGCAGAAATAAACCTGAACTCAACTCAAACAGACGCAAACTAAACCTGACCTGACGATGATTCAAACGTGAACTAACAAAAAATAATTAAAGAAACCCAAATAGACAAAATGCAAATAAGACCTAACATACAAAACAAACAAAAAAACATACAATAAAAGACTAATTATCAAAAGCTAACAGAAGGCGAAAACGAAACTGAGCAAAAAATGAAAACCACGATCAAAGAAATTACGTAATGGCTTTTAATCCAGGCGCCTACGGCGCACGGCTAAAAAAATACGGGTGAGATTCTTGAATGATTCAATAGTTCGTTGCAGCTACGGAATCTGCCCAGAGGTGACATAAGTAGTGGCGATTTTGGCATCTTTTGCCACAAAAAAAATTTGACAGAGTAAGCCAACGTGTTAGCAGCGATGAGAATCTATTTCGTCCTAAGAGTCTTTTCAGCAACTAAGTAATAAGATAACTCATCGGTTCAGACATAGAAAGATGCAAAATGGTACTGATAAGTATACTATTATTTTTGGCAAGTAGCAGACATGATCGTCTTCTCGCAACGATAGCAACAACGCGGCGACACACCTCTACGCGTTGCCAAATAAACACCAAAGGTGTAACCATAGATTATATCTCGCGCACACTGTCTTGCAACAGTGCAAACAAAGCATTAAAAATTGCAAGAAAAACTGTCGGGGTAACAGAATCTTCTATCAAGTATCATGTGAGATTTTAGACTTCGCCAACCCTCAATCTCATAGGAGCGGTACTTTGGTAAAATTAGGATGTCTTAAGAACACAAAATAAAGACCTTGGCCGGTGCTTGAGTCCGAAATGCCTGGAATGGATAAGCCATTAGACTACGAAACATTGCTTACACTAAACACCGCAGACCAGAGACAACAGCAAAACATACTTAAGGTAGAGGAAACGCAACAATACTTCACATGCGCAGGAAGAAAAGCACCGGTGACATAATAAGAAATGCAACAGATGAAATAGCTGGGAACACATGAGACATGCCCGCCAGCTATGTAGCAGATTGAAAAGGAGAAAACACGCGACACGTGAATAAGAAAAGTAACTGAAGAGAAAGGTGAGAAGAAGTAAGAGTCTGTCAGTCTATCAGCGAGACAAGAAATGTAACTGATGAAATAGTGATAAACATGTGACGGGCGCCAGAGAAATTTAACAGATGGGAAAAATATGACGAGTTACAAGAGCGGAAAGAACTGTGACTGATGGAAAAGGCGTTATATGTAACAAGCGTCACTGCGTAACGAGAAGTAATACAGTGGCACACAAAAAGGGCTGGAAATAAGAGGCAAGACACAGGCGGGGAGAAAGGCGCAGAATGGCAAATCAAAAGCGGTTTTCGTTCTTTCGTCTAAACCAAATAAAACGTACAATTTTCACGCTGTAAATTTGATATGAACATTAGTTTAAAGCACTTTCATGACGCATGTGCAGTAGCTAGAAACGATTAAAGCGTGGCACAAGTAATTGTACTAATTTTAACGTAGATTATAGGAATAAGTTTGCGCGTTCAATGATACAAAACCAAGAGCGGCTTTACAGTGATTATCACTTACTCTGCTTGTCTGAAGGGGTATGGGCTACTTTCAGCCGGTATTTCCTTGATTTTCCCTCCAAGGCTTGTTATGTAGATGTTACTGCCTGTGATGATGCGTGAATCAGGCGCTTGGTTGACCCCATCAAAGATGATATCAATGCCGTCATCGGTGAGTTCTGTAACACGATAAAGGTTAAGTGTCTACTCAAGCCGAGTGCTTCACCCAGCTGTAGCTTATTCCGGTTTCCATAGCATGAAGCGATTAATGAGGAGTATTACTAACCTTCGACAAAATTGCCCATAGGTGCGTAGTAGGTGATTCCTCTCTGCACCATCCAGTCCCCACTCTTCTGGAATTCGTCCAATGGTAAAGGCTTCACTTTGTTCACTAACGGTTTTGTTAAGTCTGTCAGCTCCATCAGTAGAGCCCCTCCCTCCTTAGGGGAACCAATGAACAAGAAGCGACAGAGAGCTTGCGGTCTAAGGAAAGGATCACGTGACCTTGCCTCAATTTAAATACATCCAAATGAAAAATTGGGGTAAGTTTGTAAAGAAACAGCGATGCTGCGTCAGTGGGGGCTGGGGCTATTGTAAGATAATTTGGTGTTATCAGATGAGCTGAAAATGTAAATTGGCCAACGTAGAGTTTCTAAGCTGGCGTTTCGAGCGTTACCTCATCGTCAGAGCGAATAGAATGAAAAGAATGAATGATTGAATTCAAATTGATTTTTCAAGATGAACATCGTACTTTCTTTTGTCAGAGTCTTTACTGTTTTATCCCTTCGATAATTTACTCTTTTCTAAATTACCTTAAATTCATCCAGTGTGGCCCGCGATAAAATTTTATTAAGTGCTGCTTGCGCGGAGTACATTCGCTAAATGCAATGAATGTTCAATAATATCCTGTGAGGTATGTTTACGGGGTGAGTTTCTTCTTGTTTTCACCGCTGGATGTCTGATGAAGAACATATTATCTGGTTTTGTCTTCACACACCAAAAGGATTTTTAGCCGCGCCAATGTTTTTTCTTACTTAGTAGTACAGGTATTCTGCAAAATGGTGCCTTACTGTTAGGTTTTATTACCTTTTTTTCCAACATTTTACTGCGTTTTCTTAGTATGTTTAGTCGTCAATTCCTTCTATAATAATTTGTATTATTGTGAAGACACGAAGAGTGAAAAAGTCAAAAAAGTAGGTTTTTCACGAAACTGCATCACAAGAAAAGTTTGTTTCATCAACTGAGTTGATAATGTAAATTGGCCAAAGTAAAGAGTTTCTACAGTTAACGTTTCGAGCGTTAGCCCTTTGTCGAGACATCACCTTTACAACATTTTTGCAATGGCCAAATTACATTATCAACAAAGTTGACACCAAATTACCTTGTGAGATTAAAGTAGTCGTACTCAAATTGAGAATCTTATTTTTGGCTCACTCTTGAAGCACTCACCCGCTTCGCTTGAAATGCAACATCATATACACAGCCAGCCGATTATCTTCCTTCTCGCGTACAAAGTCTCTGATAATCTTGAAAGCGCTTGCTGCTTTAGACATGGGATAATAAAGATCTCCTCCGATGACAAACTCTGGAATGTCATAAAGTTGATATTTCAAGGACGTAACGACCCTACACAGGACCAACAACAGAATTTGTAAAACCAATGGGAAAGACACAGTGAACAGCATTACGCTACGAGAAAAGCAGAAGGTTGTAAAAGAAGGTAAAAGCTGTCTTGTTATAACTTAAGCGAACTTTTAGAGGATAACAAACTACATTCAAACCTCAGCTTCCCGTGAGTTGATTTGGTCATACAATGAGTTATCAAACATTTGCACCAACACATCATTTCCGTATTTTCAGATTTCTTTCAAAAGACTTACAGTAAACCCGTATTTTCCTTGCGGATAATAAAAATGTTATTGCACTTTATGTCATATTTTGGAGCTTTCGCAAACGTAAGTGACGGACATTTGCTTTAAATCTATGACAGACTGATATTTCCATCGAACGGTTTTCCAACTAGCAAAAAATTGAAATAAATTCTTCTTAATTTAGAATTAAGCCTGTATATAAGGTACAATTAACAATGTGATCTTGAAGATTACCCAAAATTGAATCCACAACCTTTCATTCCCCAAAATAGTTCTGGATCTTCATTCTCACTTGCTCTTATAACATCTCCAGAAGACGTGACCAATTCTGTTGAACAAAAACATAAACAACATTTCCAATTTTGTGGAGTGTTATTCAACAACTTGGATAAAGTAAATACTTTCTTCAAGTTGTTGCATGGTGCAGTACAAAATTATTTGAAATGCACTTGTGTTACAAGACCAGATAGCCAAATTCTCTCTTTGACACTAGCAGGGTTTCAAACGCGACGTTTGACAAATTAGCCTTGGGTCTTTCGTGTGGCTCTGGACTCGGAAAATTAATACATTTTTTTCCAGAAAGGTCCATGATGTGGTGAATGGGAACGTAACCTGCTTTTTTGGTTTCCTTCATTGTTGCGGAACTGCTTATTCGTGCTTGAATAAAGAAAAATTTAATATCTTTTTTCTCTTCAAAACGAGGGTTTACATTTTTGCCAACCCATCTAATTCGTCTATTTCTTTTTTAAAGATTATATGATTCTACAATCAATGATGATAATTGACCATTAGAATGATAAGAAAATTTCAAGCCAAAAAGAAATTTGAGTCACAAACATACAAAGCAAATATCTCATATTAAATTTCTGAGGTTTCCAAAATCGAGACCTACCAAACTCTAAACAATTATCTGCTGTACAGCCAAAGGATCTGCTCAGGAAACCTGTTCCTCCAAGCAAAGTGTACCCTGCCACACCCAGTTGAGAATAACTACCCAGGGGTGTTGCCAGTGAATGACATACTGTTTCCTTGTCGATATCACTCAATTTTGCACCAGCACCCACCACAACAACCTGAAATTGTGAAATATGATGCAGGTGAGCTTCTTCAGGGTAATTACAGTATTGGTATTAGAGATTTTTTAGGTCTAACTCAAAAAGTGCAAAACTTAAATTACTCAGTGTACAAAATTTTTTTGCACAACCACAAAATTGACACCTTGTGAAATATGCCTACATCATAAAGCAGTGTTCTCCTTTTCAGGTGGTAACTGGTAACATTTACCGCCTGTAGAACCTCTTATTACTGTTTAAAATTACTTGGAATTCTTGAAAATTCAACAGGTAGAAGGATTGCTTTACTAGTTTGAAAATTTATTTTACCTGTCATGCTTAAAATAAGGGAGAACACTGTAAAAGTCAAGAGATAAAACAGTTTCAAAGATTGCAAACTCTAAAATGTTACTTCTCAGAATTTGGCTTGAGATAGGTCAAAGGTTATGTATTTTAAGCCTAACAGCCTGTAACTTCACCAAGCTCCTAGATAGGAATATTTTGGACACCTGCATGAGTCTATTCTAGTTTTGTTATGCATGCAAAAAAAACAGCAACTTTACACAATTATCTTGAGTAAACAAATATAGTCACAAACTGTTCCATAATTATGCAGTTTTATGTCACAAGGAAGGTTGCAATGCAAGGTTAAGTTAGTTAAAATAGGGATGTTGTTAGTGTTTTGCCCTTTTCTTGTTTCCAGTATAATAAAATGTTACATCCAATAGTGTGTGGTATGGCTGAGTATTTTCTTAAGTCAGAATACAAAAAACAAGTTAAAATACTCAGCAAAACCAAACACCAAAATGTCTTATAAGTTATATACTATCCAACTGCATGAAGTAGAGTACAATTAAATGCAAAGTGTGATTCAAGTGCAATCCAAATAACTGTAAAATATTGTCAGGTATAAGTACTCAATTCACATGTTATTTATACTCTACTTAGTGCAGTAGGATGATAACAACACATACCTTCTTTTCCACATCCACTGTTACACTGTTCATGTCAGAAAGATTAATAACCACAGCATCATCAGCCATTGCGAAATCACTGTTCTTTGCAGCACAAACACACATGTCCAACTGCAAAATATACCACAAACATATTTTTCAAGCAAAGAGGTATAATAACGACATGAAAATTAGTGGCATGATTTCAAATCCTAAAAATAAAATACTAAACAAATAAAATACTAAACAAATCCTAAAAATAAAATACTAAACAAGGAGTTGTAATTAAACAAAGAAAATGTATAACAAAGACTGCAGATCTTGGCAAACAAAGAAAATAATGAAAGGCCATACCTCTAGCCTGTTTCTTTGATTTTCATATTTCCCAAACTTATGTCATCCATAATGACAAGGTAACTCATTGTGAAGTGTACAAATCTAACCCTTAAACCTCTTTGAGTGACCTCCCTGTAATTTCTCCTGACAGTATCAACTTAAGTTAACTTAATAACTTAACTTAATATCAGTATGCATATCCTCCATACAGGTCTCTGTACATTTTCCACCGTACTGACCATGAGAATTTGTTTGAAAATTAGTAGCTCCTTTAGCTGAAGATCATTTCTTTCTTTCTTATGACCTTAATGTGTAATTCAGGAGTGATATTGCCTGGGGAAATTAGATGCTGGACACTCTAGATCTTAGGGGTTCAAGGATTGAGTTGTGGTGTTTCCTTTTTCTTTGTGGTTTTCATGTCCCGCTTTGGTGCATTAATTTTCCTCAGTCGTATAAACCGTTTTAAGTATATTGGTGCTAAATAAATGGTGCAGAGGCTTGGCTACCGCGCCCTGAAACTGTACAGGTATCATCACTTTGTGTGCACGTTCGAGAAGTGGAGGCAAAACTCTAAGCGTAAAATTGATAACATAAATCGCAATAGATTTTTCTCCAGTATGAAGGTGTAAACGGAATAAATTCCACCAATAACTTTTTCCATTAACTCGATTTTTACACAAAACTTGACAGTGTTCACGACATCTTCCACAGTCGCTACCCGGACAAACGCACTCGGTTTACGCGTTCGAATAGCGGCATTCTATGTTTCATCAACCTCCAGTTAATAATCTTTTGCATTTTCTGATCGAACAATGACACACCCGGAAAGAACAGCTTTCAGAGGAGAAAAATAGACCATTCTTCTGCGTTTTAATCTTTTACCTTCGTAGAAGAGGAATTTCACTGGCAGCCAGAGTTTATACTTAGCATTTTTGAACTTTAGGCGACGGCTTCTTCGGAGTCTTCTCTTTCTTCAAGGCCAAAGGTAATGCATAATGACTGCTAGACACGGCCTATTGTGCTCTCCACTTTTGATCTATTTTCTCATCTCAAGCTCTATGTTATGCAGACAGACTGAGCTTAACACCTATGGAACATTGTAGGACGTTGTAGACTGAAGTTTTCGAGAGGCTTTGCGCAGTATATTCAAGAAAGAAGTGTTATTTCGATCTACTCTTCGCTTACCAGACAAGCTTATGGAGGTTTTTGCAATTCAGATGAGTTATGGATTAGCTTCGCCCGTGGAAATCTACCTTGTGAACGGCCATCCTTTGTAAGGGTTCAAAATACCACTCCTGAGCCTTTTGTTTCTCTTTGGTGGTGCGGTCGCTCAACGTGCCGGTTCACTGATCCGCGGCGAAAACATTTTAAACAAAGAATTTCATATTATCCTAACTCTTGTGCTGGTTTTAACTTTATGAAACTGTGTATTTCACTAAGTGGCGACATCCATCCATTACCAGGTTCAGATACCACTAGCAGTAGGACTGCTGTTATTCATGGGAATCGACAGACTCGTCGCATCCCTGACTCAGTTGGACACGTGAGCGCAAATTGTAATAGTATAAAATTGACAAACAATGCACAATCAACGGCGCATAAAAACCAAAACGGTGCATAAAAACCAAAACATAGCCCATCTTAACGCAGAGCTTCTCAAATGTAGACAACACTTTACTAAACGGAGGAGTTAGCCTTGGAACGTGATTTTGATATTTTAACCATCTCGGAGACCTGGTTTAACTCTTCCGTGACCAACAGTGTTGTCGAAATCCCGGGATACAAGGTCTTTAGACTTGGTCGCCTTGGAAAAGCAGGTGCCGGTGTATGTGCTTACGTAAAATCTACTCTGAAGGTAAAAGCCCTGAAGGATCTCACGGAAATATCCGAATCCGGCCTACACCAGTTGTGGATTCAAGTTCAAAATAAGAAGCTTCGTTCATTGCTGGTTTGTATTGTTTACAGACCCCCCGGAAATTGGAACTGCATGCCTAGAGAATAAACTGCTCCCAAAGTACATCGAAGCGTTATCACGCAACAAGGACATTGTGCTAACAGGCGACTTAAACTGTGACCTTCTTTCAAACAATCCGAGGGGAGAAGCAATGCTGTCGTTTTTTACAACTGTAAATGCGACACAGCTTATAGACAAGTCAACTCGCGTGACTGAGAACTCACGCTCCTTATTGGATGTCATCCTGGTCTCTGGCCCTGTCCTTGTCAAGTCGAGCGGTGTTCTTGAAATAACTATAAGTGATCATTTTCTGGTTGATGCTGTTATTAACTTAAAATCACCCAAGCAAGCCCCAACGTCACACGTAGTTTTCGGAATTATAAAGCCGATCAGTTTGCAAATGACATCGCGCACATCCCATGGGATACTATGAACCTGATAGACGAATCCGTTGATAACAGACTCGATGCATTTAATGACTTGCTGTTGGCTTGTCTGGACGACCATGCTCCGGTTAAAACAGTGAAAATACGACATAAACCAAACCCATTCATGACGGAGGACATAAGGGATTTGATGAAGGCGAGAGACCACCTTCACAAAAGAGCGAGAAGGACTGGGACGAGGGAAGATTGGGAGGCTTTTAAGGAGCTTCGAAATAGAGTTAAATTTGTTTTACGGAAGGCGGAACGAGAGCACTACAATCATCAAATCTGTGAAAATAAGAACAACAGTGGGGCAATGTGGAAAACTATTCGCAGTGCCCTCCCAAATAAATCAGGCCGCCCAAGCTTTACCAAGGACACAGATGCACTCGCTAATGAATTCAATCGCTTCTTTATATCTGTGGGACAGAAGGCCGCCGATGACTCTGCGGAGCTCGCTCGCCTTCACGGCCTATCAACTACTCCTGTTTATCTCGGTTCAACTCATTGTGATGAACTGTTTGACTTCAAAGCAATAACCAGTGAAGATGTGCGAAAAGTGATTATGGCTATGCCTTATAATAAAGCTCCAGGCTATGACAGAATTCCAGTGTTTGTGATCAAGGACTGTTTACCGTATATATTACCAACTCTAACTGCATTGATAAACTCTTCTTTTAGCAACCCTGTTTTCCCTAAGGCCTGGAAGAAGTCGGAAGTAGTGCCACATCTTAAAGATGGTGATCACGAGTAACAATCGCCCTATTTCATTATTGCCTGTACTTTCTAAAGTGACCGAAAAGATCGCCCTGAATCAATTCACTGATTATTTGACTCAACAAGGCAACCTCACCTGTCATCAAAGCGGAAACCGTAAACACCATTCTACTGAAACACTGAGTTTGCTTGTCACCGGTCATATATATAAAGCGATGGATAAAAAGGAGATCACGGCTATGGTTTTAATCGACTTGAGCAAGGCTTTTGACAGCATATGTCATAGAACTCTCCTCACCAAGCTGAAAGGGCTCGGTGCGTCAAATGAAGCGTCATAGTGGTTTGAAAGCTATCTTAAAAACCGAATGCAGTCAACACGACTCGGTACATCTCGCTCTAGTGAGTTAACTGTCACACATGGCGTACCACAGGGGTACATTCTAGGGCCTCTTATGTTCAGCCTTTACATGAACGACCTACCGTCCGTTGTTAAGTTTTCAAGCGTAGAGTCATATGTTGATGACACAAAGGTTTATCTTTCGTGTTCATCGAATAATATTGACTCCTGCCTTGCAAAATTCTCGGAAGATCTCCGACTTATTGCCTTCTGGTGCTGTACGAATTAGTTGCTTATTAATCCAGGCAAAACTAAACTTATTATTTTTGGAACGAAACAGCTTTTAAGTGGGGTTCCTGATATCAGAGTCCCCTTTTTTGGGCAACGCTTAATTCCTGTGTCCTCAGTCAAAGACCTGGGTATAATATTGGACTCGAACCTTACTTTTAATGAACACGTTAACACCCTGACCTCGTTTCTTATTTCTACCCTATGCCAGATAAGCAGAGCTAGGCACTTGTTTTCCAAATCAGTACTTACCACCATTCTGAATTGTCTAGTGTTTTGTAAACTCTTTTATTGCTCGACAGTTTGGTCTGGAACGTTTGCGCACAACATAAAGAAATTGCAACTTGTACAAAACTTTGCCGCCCGTGAGTGTATTGACAAACAGCAAGAAGTTTGATCACATCTCACCAGTGCTACGGGCACTGAGTTGGCCTTCTATTAATAACCAGTTATTAGCACTATAAAAATAGTCAATGGCCTTGCAGCACCATATTTAGAGTGTTACGTCAACAAAAGATCAGCTATCCACAGCTACTAGATCTAGAGACAACTTAGTTGTACCCTTTTGTAGGACGGCCACAGCACAGAGGTCTTTTAGTTATAGAGCAATCACTGCCTGGAATTCTCTTATAAGTGAAGAAACGAAAAATAGCGCAACACTCTCAGTTTTCAAGCGTGCAGTAAAGCGCGAAATATATGACAGTCCGTAGGAATCTTTTTTAGGTATAGAATTTTAAGAATATGTTAGTTATTTATTTGTATTTGTCTCTTTATCATGATATTATTGTAACTTTTATAGGTAGTTTTATTCGATTTCCAATTATTGTAAATTAAATCGGAAGAGCCACTGGGTGGAGATTTAATAAACTTACTTACTTACTTACAGCGCTCGAACGAAACTTCCACCAAATCAACTAATAATTTAATCAGCGGTTAATCGTTAAGGTTTTTACAAGAGCAATATATGCTAGTGTCATCAGCAAATACGTGAAAGGTAAGGAATTTTGAGGCATTAGGTAAGTCATTAATACATAACAAAAACAATAAAGGTCCCAGAACAAATCCTTGAGGTACCACACAAGTAACAAATAGAGAATCAGAGTCATGACCACTGACACACACAAATTGTTCTCTGTTGGATAGATAAGATTGAAACCATTCATAGACTTTACCTCTTACTACATAGTGATGCAATTTCAACAAAAGAATAGAATGATTTATTGTATCGAAAGCTTTTTTAAAATCAATGAAAATACCACAGCCAAACTCATTGTTGTCAACTGTGTAACGAATAGATTCAGTGATACTTATGAGTGCGTGATTAGTTGAACACTCCTGCCTAAAGCCAAACTGAAGTCAGTAGAGAATATTATGACATTCAAGATGACCATAGAGGCGCTTATACTTAGCTTTTTCATATATTTTGCTCAAAACAGCTAGCACTGATATTGGCCTATAATTATCCTTGTCTTGTTTAGAGCCTTTCTTGAGGACCGGAATAACTTTTCCCAATTTAAGTTTGTTTGGAAAAATGCCACAGAGAAAAGAATTATCAATTAGGGATGAGGGAAATGGAGAAATATGGGTTTTAAGAATTTTTAGCAAGGGGACTGGAATACTGCAAGGACCAATGGATTTGTTATTGTCCATTTGAGATATGTAAGACTCGACTTCAAAGGAGGTGATAGGGGAAAGGAACATTGATTTAGGAAAATTGCCATTTAGAAAAGAGGTAGGACAGCAATTCCCCGGTGGAATGTCTTTGTCAGTGGTTCCGTCCAACAAGCAAAACAAACCTGGCAGCTCGATCCAATCGCACGATCTTTATTTCAAAAGGTGTTTAAGAAAATACAGTTTTTAGTAATGGACTCTAAGGTTTATCAGCAACGATAACCATAATACATTCATGGGTCTTCTTCACCTAAAAAAGAGGTTGACAGAAAAGAAAAAACTGGGTGAAAGACTGCGAAAGGGCTACTGATTCGAAAGTTTGCGTATGCTCAGAAATCGATCTTAGTGAAGTCCTATTTTATGACGTAATGATTTGAGAGAAGGACGTAAAATATTTTTAGTGGAATTCATCGTGCTTCCTTCTGTAGAATTCCTAACGCTTAGTAGAGCGTTTAACAAATTTGTGC